CTGCAGAAAAACTAATTGTGTGACAAACGAGGCTATCAGCACGGATATAATATAAACAATAATGCTTTGAGTCGAACAACACTTTCACCGTTTTTAATACCTTAAATCAATGTCCAACGTTTTAGGGAAGGCCCTTGATTAAAAGAAGGGCTGTCATGTTGCTGTGATTAACAGGACGAATAGACACACTCCCTCAAAAGCGCAAGTATCAGAAGCTAATCCAGCAATGGCCAGAGAGGGATTTCTCGGGCCATTGCTTCAGGAATATGTATTAGGTCCAACTCTAAGAAGGTATGGGCAAGCAAAGAGAGCACAAATAATCCAACCTGCGATTAAACAGCATCCGAAGAGCGTGAGATTTACAATCTCGTTCGAGATTTCGATCAGTTGAAACGTCAACGCCAAATAGTAGAGTTTAAAAAACAGCTTAACACGGAATAAAGTCGTATTGACGAGTATAACGCCGCTTGCCCACAGGCCCTCGAAGCTAAAGTTTCATGTGCCCTTGGTTTGTCATTTCAAACTCCTGGTTCAAGCTTCGTACTGAGAAGAGAAACCCCCGTACAAGACGTCAACACATCAACTGTTAACTCAGCATATAGAGAGCCCATATATAAAGAGCGGTATCACTAATCACATAAATCTGTTTGGAAAATGGATTCAGTTACCCCGAAAACGTATATTTTGACACCAAACTAGATTATATATGATGATTTCGTTGGAAATTGGAATTTGGACCCCTGGTCTCGGTCACCCAGAGCCTCCTAGTCTTCAACGTATGGAGGGTCTGAGACCTTGTTCATATATTGACGAAAAGTTCCAATGCCCATGCGTAACCGGTCGTTTAGATTTTTTGTGCGGTTGATCTTTGGCCAAGTCAAGTAAGAGTTGCGCCCCTTCCCGCAATAAATCTCATAATTCTTGCATTAATATAAACAAATGTGAATTGTGACGACGAATTAGGATTAATTTTTTAAAAAATGATATGGCCCATGAAGAGAGGAATTTTACAGTAATAATAATTAAGAGTGTTGGATATTGAACTGGTAATCCAATCAAATGGATTTTCTGAAATGGCATTGTTAATATAATTTCATGGGCTAATTTCTTCTTTTAGGGCTAGTTACCTCCCTTAGACCTTGTTTATGATAATGTAAAAGACCGGATTATTTAGCCCATGGACTATTATTCTCAAATGTTGATAACGCATCCAAACTAATATCCGTAAAATATTTGTCTGGATTATAGAGACAAGGGCCCGTGAGAAGCCGGGTATCCTGCCATTTAGTTGATATAATTGAAAAAGAATGATAAAGTTTCACTACACCAAATTCTCGACTAAGGTCATGGTCATTTTCAGATGCAATTAATATGTGTCATCTATTTATTGTGGGACTGAGCGAAGGGGACATTAGTCTCAATGTTGGCTTGTTTGTTCAAATGTTCAGCAGCTCTAACTGTAGAACGCTATGATGGGAGAGTAGTATAGTGTCCATTTGATTCGATTTCGTTCTAAAACATACAATTATTCATGAGTCGAGATAATTCGGACTCAATAACACTTAATCGGAATGTCCGTATCACAACGGTTCCGTAATGATTGACAAAAAGGCGGTGCTCGATTGTCAGCACGGAACGTTCCGAATTGACGGAATTGCAATCGAGTGACACCGAATTCAGTCTTGTCAGACTTCTGTCAGTCCCGACAACAGAGGTGGTGTGAGTAGAATCGGGACGTAATTAAACCTAATTAATATTTTTAGGCTATCTTGTTTGGGTAAGATATTTTCTCATGCAGTCAGCACATGCGTTCCAGTCCCAAATCCCATTTTTACTCGATTGTCACTATCCTTGGGATTTTCAGAATTCAATTCCGGAATGTTCAATCGAGCACCCCCTTACTATAATATAAGTATTGAATGGCCTTAGATATTCGGACGATGGCGTGTAGCATCAATTGACTTGAGAACACTAACATCCTAGTGTGAATAGGTGGGATTGATGGTTGTGAAGACCTTATTGTCATATTGATTTTTTTACGCCCGTTCGTTCACATTTTGTGTGTGGACAATATTTATCCGATTTTGACGAAAGGTTTAAATCCCAAAGATTTTGGTTCCTATCGATATTGGCATATCAGTCGGTAACGTCATGGATTATGGCCCCTGATTGTACGAAAAATCATGTCTTTAGCTTGTGGATACTCTATAGGTCACAATGTGTATCTGACCGAAACTGCCCGATAAATGGCCGCTCTTAGTGTAACCGTATGTAATACCAAGATTGTGGACCCTTTACAGGGTGGAGGTCACAATTTTTAACCGATGTCAAAAGCCGTTCAATTATATATCACAGTTACACCATGAGGGCGATTGAGATTGAATTTCGTGAAAATCGGAGCGAAAATAGCCGCTCCCTGTACGCAAATAGTGACAAAAGGTTGTAATACTTAAGTTTGTGGACTCTCTAGAGGTCACGATTTTGATATCTTTAACTTAAAAGTATCCTTATATTCCAAAGACCCCGGTTCCTTTCGGTATTCGAGCATGTCAGGTCGTAACTTCACGGAATACAGACACTGGTTGTACGAAGAATCACGTTTTTAGCTAATGAACCCTCTTGATGTCAAAATTTTAATTTGATTTTATAAAACTTTAATATATATCACCGTTACACCGAAATTACAGTTGAGTTCGAATTTCGTGAAAATCGGACCGACACTTCCCGTCAAAATGGCAGCTCCCCTTTATGCAAATAGTGTTAAAGCATGTAATACCAATGTGTTTACTCTCTAGTCTGGAGGTCACAAATTTTATCCAATTTTGATGAAACTTTAGATGTATGTTTATATCCCAAAGACCTCGGTTTCTTTTGATATTGACACATGTCGGACCGTCACATCCTGGATTATGCCCCTTCTGGTACGGAAATCGCTTTTTTAGCCTATTCTCTGGCCATCTTGCATGTATGTGAACACATTGTAGGATGAAGTCGTTGATGGACTGCTCCATTTGGTGGGCATAGAGATGGGCATTTCAGTTACAAAATATGCCATTTCTTGATGCCAATACTATCTGAACAATATAAATATAACAGAACTATTTCATTCTGTATTAAAAATCTTTATTTATAAAAGCGTAATATTTAGATTAAAAATGGGCGCTCTTCAGTCACTTAATACAAATTAGAAAGTATATTTACATATATTTACATTTCCCTATTCTGATATTTTCATTTATATTTCCCTATTCTGATGTTTACATTCATTTATATTTCCCTACTATGTTTACATTTATATTTTCCTATTCTGATGTTTACATTTATATTTCCCTATTCTGATACTTACTTTTATATTTCCCTATTAAGTTTACATTTATATTTCGCTATTCTGATGTTCACATTTATATTTCCGTTTTTTCTAATTTTAATTACTTTGTTATACCAATATTTCATTTTATTTTAATCGTTTGACATAATCAACATTTTTACGAAAGAATATTCAGTAAAAACGGTGATTGTAACAATGTTTCATACTACCGAGAGAAGGAAGCAAGTGGCAAATGTTTAGTGATCACAAAATAAAATATAACTGCTTGCGAGTATCATACTCTGGCAACGGTATCTAAGCACATATAAGTGTTTCTATATCTGATTTGTTGATATTACTTTGTACACTATATATATTTTACTTTGTATACTCAAAGATCAAAATGTGGATTATAAAATGGATTATTAAACATAAATTTAACTTGTTACATATTTATATTAACGTTTATTATTAAACTACCACTATATACTATTTATATTAACGTTTATTAGTGTCACTAGATACTATTTATATTAACTTTTATTATTGTACTGTCACTATATATTATTTATATTAACGTTTATTATTATACTGTCACCATATACTATTTATATTAACGTTTATTATTATACTGTCACTATATACTATTTATATTAACGTTTATTATTATACTGTCACTATATACTATTTATATTAACGTGTATTATTATACTGTCACTATATACTATTTATATTAACGTGTATTATACTATTTATATTAACGTTTATTATTATACTGCCACTATATACTATTTATATTAACGTGTATTATTATAGTGTCACTGTATACTATTTATATTAACGTTTATTATTATACTGTCACTATATACTATTTATATTAACGTGTATTATTATACTGTCACTAGATACTATTTATATTAACGTGTATTATTATAGTGTCACTTTATACTATTTATATCACTATATACTATTTATATTAACGTTTATTAGTGTCACTATATACTATTTATATTAACGTTTATTATACTATTTATATTAACGTTTATTATTATAGTGTCACTGTATACTATTTATATTAATAACATATATTATTATACTGTGACTATATAACATTTATATTAACGTGTCACTAGATACTATTTATATTAACGTTTATTATTATAGTGTCACTATATACTATTTATATGAACGTTTATTATTATAGTGTCACTATATACTATTTATATTAACGTGTATTATTATAGTGTCACTATATACTATTTATATTAACGTTTATTATTATACTGTCACTATATACTATTTATATTAACGTTTAATATAATACTGTCACTATATACTATTTATATTAACGTGTATTATTATACTGTCACTATATACTATTTATATTAACGTTTATTGTTATACTGTCACTATATACTATTTATATTAACGTTTATTATTATACTGTCACTATATACTATTTATATTAACGTTTATTGTTATACTGTCACTACAGTATATACTATTTATATTAACGTTTATTATTATAGTGTCACTATACTATTCATTATTATACTGTCACTATATACTATTTATATTAACGTTTAATATAATACTGTCACTATATACTATTTATATTAACGTTTATTATTATAGTGTCACTATATACTATTTATATTATTTATATAATTATACTCTCACTATATACTATTTATTTGCTATTGTGAAATATAATTATTTGAGGTTAAAGTAGTTATTTTTAAAATATATAATATATTACATTCATTGATACAATTACTTGTCTTTTGTTTGCTCGAATATTATGGAATCTGTTACATACTCACAAATATATATTGGTAGTTTGACATTTCGTAATGAAAAATAAAAATAAACAAATTATACAAATTATGTTAGAATCCTATCTTTTCAACCACATATTTGACACAATGTGTACATTTTCACAAAATTGTCTTCGTTAGGCTAGTAATGTCGAAGCAGATTATCAAAAACGAAAAGATTGACAAGACGAATTAAGCAAAATATGATCATGTACTTAATTTCCGGCAATTTTTCAAATAAGGTTAAAAATGATAATTAATTTGAAAGATGTTTTCTATGAAAGACTTTTGTTTTAAGGGCAATACAATGGTTTGAAGTTAGCTCATTCACCTGTCCTTATCTGACACACTACTCGTTATGTAGGTATGTTAAGAATTGAAGTAGAACAGAGCCTCTCCACCATCACCAGTAAGATATTTGTATTAAGTAATAAATATAATTTGCCATGTATTATGCATATATTTGACATAAAATTAATACATTCTTATGATCAATATTTACATCTGAGATATCATCATTTAGCAAGAATTTGCATAAACAGAGAACTCGTCCAGATATTCACCAACAGCATCGAAACAAAATCTTAACTGCTCCTGAAATTCGAAAGATTAACATATAGATCAGTCTATACACTCATTACTAACAACCTTCATGCGAGCCTCGTCGACTAAGTTGGTAAGGCGCTGGCTCGACAGCCTGGAGGTCAGGTGTTCCATCCCTGCATTGTCCGAGAAAGGTCATCGGGATTTTCCGACGTGGTTTCCCCTTGTCAGTGGTGCAGGACGGAGGGAGGGCCTGACAATGACAGCTGTCTAGTCGTTCGGGTGGGATGAAAAACGAGGTCCCGTGTATACATTGGTATGCACGTAAAAGATCCCTTGGCAGTTGGAATTCGATATAACATTGGGCCATGGTGCCGCTGTCCGGGCAAAATTTCCCTCATAGCACACGTATGGCGTATGCCCGTCTTCATTAGCCCAGTCGGAGCAGAACAGTCGGAGACGTTAAACCCCATTTCATTTCATTTTCACCAACCTCCATTGTAATTAACTACCCATTGAGTGCTTTTTAGATTAATGACAATCTGCTAAAAATGCAGATCTATATTTCGTTTTGTTTTTTTTTAAATTTCGATGGCCTACACTACATGAAGATCTGACCAATTGTACCGGAAGGTCCCGTCAGGGGTCGTACGAGCGGCATTTGACTCTATGACGTAAGACATTGATTAATCCGTCAGTGATGACGTTTCCATGCACGGCACGCCAAGAAGTCGCCGTAACAGATCGTTTCATTGGCTATTCCCTTACGCCATCCAGAACGCCTGTTATATAACAACTCTTCCAGATCCTAGTGTGGTACAAACAAATAAAACGACATTTTGAACTATTAAAAACGAAACGAAATAAGTTTGAGATTAATGTCGAAACTTTATTTATATAAGTGGTTTGTTGAATTAATTAATAATGGCAAGTATATTATGGGTTTTACTGACTTATATTATACTCACAAAAGACGTGATAATCTGAGGTCTAGAAACTCTTAGTTGAACTAAAGTCTGTAAAATACTGACATCTTGTTCTATAGTTAATCTTTCTAATATAGCTGCTAGAACACAGAATACACCCGATTTCTCTACACCATTCCTAGAATAATTATTAAAAATCTGAAAATCAGTCTCATTGTGCCAGATATTATCCTATCTATCCACATACATATTCTATAAGAACAGTGCTTTCGACTGGTTGTCCACATCAAACTAAAACTACGGGTTTCGAAGAGAAAAAAATGTCCGAGTACAAGAAACAGATGGTTATGAATTGTGTTTACTTTCTATTTTAAAAAAGGAGGGGGGAATGGTTAGCGCGTGCGCGCTGTATCATAAGGTATGTCATTGAGTCAACTGGCGTGGTTGCCATTCCCTGGTTGTACGTGACAAGGAGTAGGGTCGCATGTCCCACCTAGTGGGTTGTCTCCGGGTCCTCCGTTTCCCCCCCCACCCCCTGCTATAGACCCCTACCCACAAGCGAATTATTGAAATTAAATTGAACCATGTGTTAGTGGCGAAATGGCGTTAAACTCTCTCTCTCTCTCTCCCTCCCTCTCTCTCTCCTATCTTTTAGTAAATCAAATCAACTTACAGACAGTGAACAACGATGGGTCCATCTTCATCTTGATCAGACCATGATTTTTTATCTTCTAGGATAGTAAAGATTGGACCAGCAGATTTTGGCACCCCTTTCGTCGAATTCCAGAAATTACACTGATATATTCTGATACTTCTCTGTAAGCTTTCCTATTTCAAAAATTAATTGTATTTAGCATATAAACATTCATATATGTACGTAATTTTAGATTCGATTTTTTTTCTCCTTATTTTGGTAAGAAGTTTTGATCTTGTTAGCATACCTTAATTGGCTATTTTCTTTCATTTTGTTTTTTTTTGTGTTTTATTTGTCAGGATACCTGATTCTGTCAACGAAAACGGGAGTTTTTATCGTGCTGGCATACCCTGTCTGGTTTTAACTTGAATTCCAGAAGCCGAAGCACAACGAAAATGACGAAGATTCTAAGTTTCCAGAGTTCCATTATTCGAAGGTTTCAAAATTAAACGCTACTTCCTTTCCCAGTTCTCCTTTATCAGCAATACTTGAGAAGTGTGAAGCATTATAATTGAATAAACAATACTTACATCTAATTCACTGTTAATTAAACAGGTAACAACTGTATAGATACCATTCTCATGTTTTGTTTCATCTGTTTTGCTTATATTAAATGGTCCACAGTTCAGATCATCATCAGTTGGTACATATTGTCCAATATCCTATGTAAAGTTCAAATATTTGATTCAATATTGTTCATTAAAGTAAATACATGATGACAATACAACTAATACAGATTTATAAAACTTAAGGATCAACCCACTTTCACATAGAGTATAATAGTGTCAAAGTGTGTCGAATTTGCTGGAGGCAGAAAGCGTATGCAGATTGGGCACAACCTAGCTATAGCAATAAGACTTTACTAGTGATTCTCAACCAGTATGCACATTAAAAAAATGCGAAAAACCAATTGAGTATTCACTGGTGTCTACTGATAAATTCATAGCTGTGTTTTTCTTTATTTTATTTGAGTCATTCTATGTGTCTATGACTAGTCTCTGTCTACGGATGTATACCCTCTAACTTAACATGTTTTTATTTTGCAAAATTCAAATATTTTTCATATATATTTAGCCAGGTGTGCCGCTACTTGTTCATGTTTCCAAGGTGTGCCGTTGGCAAAAAACGGTTGAGAACCATTGAACTATACAATGTAAAGAGCTGCGAGTAACATGTTTTCTTTAACGGAAAACTGTCTGCTATTGGAGCATAATTTTAAATCTCTTGCCTAGAATTAAAATAACACATCTCTAACATAACCGTTTCAACTAAACAGCAGCAAACTGAAATAACTGCTCAACACCGCCAAAAAATCTTCTAAAAAGAATGTAAAAGCCAAAAATGTGTCTGCTATCATGTATATACACACAGAAATTCTAGAATGCATAAACATAGTTTGAAATCATAAGCAAATATAAATTGAATTTAACCTGTGCTGTTTCTGTGATATCCATATTAATTATTGTGGTAACATCTTGTTCAACAACCATCGTCCAGAAATCTATCACTGTATTTGGTAAGGGTGTCTGGGTCAATATGTAGGCACGTTTCTTTCTGTAGCTCTGTAAAACCAAAATCTTATAAAAAACGCAAATATTCAGCAGCTTACGGAAATATGTCTAAATGATAGCTTACTGGGTAAACATTTACCTTAAAACGAATTCGTACTGCATAATACTGAATTTTATAACATTCAAATGTAATATACCGAATTTTATAACATACTGAAAGTTAAACTACTAAATTGTAGATCTGTAAAAACAAATCTATCACTATAATTGGTAAGGGTGTCTGGGTCAATATGTAGGCACATTTCTTTCTGTAGCTCTGTAAAACCAAAATCTTATAAAAAACGCAAATATTCGGCAGCTTACGGAAATATGTCTAAATGATAGCTTACTGGGTAAAACATTTACCTTAAAACGAATTCGTACTGCATAATACTGAATTTTATAACATTCAAATGTAATATACCGAATTTTATAACATACTGAAAGTTAAACTACTAAATTGTAGATCTGTAAAAACAATGACATCGATTCTTAAACAAGATGTATTTGGTTGAGCGGTAGTCATTCATTGCAGCACAATATACATGGGAAAACAAAATATCGTAAATAATTAACAGTTTCATCTGATGGAAACAGATCTCCTAAGTTTTTATGGTTTGCACCGTAATAGACCATAGCTCAAAGCATTTAAACAGATTTCCAAAGTTTTTATGGTATGTACCGTAATAGACCATAGCTCGAAGTATTTAAACAGATTTTCCAAGTTTTTATGGAATGCACCGTAATACACCATAGTTAGAAGTATTTTTACTGCTTACCGATAAAAACAGAGCATTAATATAATCTGTCATCTGTGGCTTAGATAAACACAGCCTCGTTTTATCAGCTGAAATATATAATTTTTAATATTTATATAATTTCATCATTTATTAGGTTCATATATTATCTACCCAATCCCTACCCAGAGAGAACAGATATTTTAACAGGTATACTTTAACATAATAACAGATGTTATGAATACGTCATCGTGCCATCTTGACACATGAAAGTGGAATTGAATAAAATAACCTTATCTCGGCTATTGACACTCATGGTTGTCCAGATGACATTCATTAGCCATTACCATAATATAAACTTGTAGCTGGCCTGTGTTATGTAATGTCATTTGTCATGTAAAACAGTCCTTACTGAACGTCAAATCTGGTATATGATGCAATATAGCCAGCTGCACAATCTCTTCCGTCATCCTTTGTATAGAAAGGGATTATAAGCAGAAGTCTAATTGATAGAAAGTTAGTTAAGACCGGCGAGAGGACATGTAAGTTAATTGGGAGTTGGCACCCGACCACAATGCTATACGCCAAACTGGAGGAGAGTCCGTTGAAAATATATAGCCTCTTTTGCGCTAACAAGACTTTTTCAGTGGTGGAGGGGGGGATGGTTGGAACTGAATATCAGAGAACGTTAAATATTTCATAAAACCCAATGTTTCCCGGCAAATGTGTATAGAATCATCTGTCACATTGCATATGATAACCTCTGCCAATTGGTGACTGTTCACAAACCAATTCTTGACGGGCGGACGGATGGGTTTGGTGAAACAATACACCAAGCTGACATGTGGGTCAATCAAAAGTTACATAAAACTAACATGCTAAAATGGATAGATCTCTATTCTTCTCTTTGTTTTCTTCTGATAAAGCTACCAAACAATCAGCTTTTCTTTGTGACGGACATATACTATCAAGCATCTGTATAAGAAAACAAAAAACAAATCACGAATAATCAAAACAAAATATGGTTGCATATTAAGGTGTTTAAATTTTTATTTTGCTTGAAATTAGCCTCATTAGACTAACATTATCGTTTATAAATATTACCTCAAATCTTTCTTGAAGCTGTGATTTACCAGATGAACTATTGACCTTCAGTAACGTCTGATAGTCCTTTTGATAAGACGTGACAGGAAATGTAATATCTCCAGCTATATACCATTCGGCTAAAGCATCATGTAGAAATACATATTGTTCCTGAAATAGTTCAATCCATTACATTTAAACATACATTATGCAAGAGTTAAATCTGCCTACTGCAGGTCTTTCTTTAGGCCTGAAATGTTATCTCAATTATTAATTAGACATTAATTAACTTATCCAGACTATAATCAACTCTAGAAGGCATCGCTAGCCAGGGGGGGGGGGTGGATGGCCGAATGGTTAGCACGCGCGCGCTGTATCACAAGGCCTGTCATTGAGTCAACTAGCGTGGTTTCGAATCCCCGGTTGTACGTGACAAGGAGTAGGGTTGCCTGTCCAATCTCGTGGGTTTTCTCCGGGTCCTCCGGTTTCCTCCCACTGCTAAAGACCCCTACGCGCAAGCGAATTATTGAAATAAAATTAAAACCATATGTTAGTCCCGAAATGACCTAGTCTGTGTCGAGTGGACGTTAAACCCCATTTCTCTCTCTCGCTCTCTCGCATCGCTAGCCTGCGATCTTTAGTTGATTATGAGCCGATTTACTGCATAACTTTCCTTCACGATTTAACGAATAATTGGATAATCGAGACTAATGATGATCGAGGCTAGGTGAAAATTTCAATTTCTTAGTTCTGGGTTCATAGTGGATCAATTTGAATGAAATTATCAGCAAATTGCCTTTAGATGATCTAGTTTTTAACAATTATGGTGAGAACTGCCAACTCGTTATCGATTCTCCCATATAGTTCACAAATATCTATTGGTCACAAGTAAAATTATTGTGGATCGACCAATTATAATAATAAACATACATACCGAAGTCTGAACCATGTTAACTCGTTCATATCGCAGCTGTTTAACACACTCATAAATATCTACAGAACCTTCTGCTCTAGCTTTATCTATTGAATAATCTAAAGCTATGAAAGTTCCCGTTCTTCCAATACCAGCACTGAAACGCAAGATACAGGACAATTTAAGTAAACGTAATCTGAATATAGTCTGGGACAATGTATTTTTTACACTATAAGGGTGTTGGGTGGCCGGATGGTTATCGCGTGCTATTTGTATCATATGGTCTGTCATTGAGTCAACTGGCGTGGTTTCAATTCCCCGGTTGTACGTGACAAGGAGAAGGGTCACCTGCCCAACCTCGTGGGTTTTCTCCGCATCCTCCGGTTTCCTCCCACTACTAAAGATCCCTACACACAAGCGAATTATTTAATTGTTAGTATCGAAATGACCTACTTTGTGTGGAAGTACCTCCTCTCTCTCTCTCTCTCTATCTCTCTCTCTCTCTTTCTCTCTCCACAATAGCACAATAGCTACGTCAAACGTATATTTATATACCTGCAGTGTACCACCATTGGTCCTGGTTGTGGAGAGGTGGCTTTTATTACCTTGTTTCTGAATTCTACCAGTGACGCAGTATCAATAGGTACACCTTTATCAGGCCATGATGTATAATGATACTGCTTGATGGTCCTGGATCCACATTCGTCCTGGAACATAAAAATCGCACAGAAATTATTATTTATTTAAAATAAAACTTAACATTTCTAAAATGATCAATTTTATTAAGCAAATAAAGTATCCAGCTTAAAACTTACTTTATCTCACAGAAAGTATTATTTTTTTAAAACAAAACTTAATGATTAATTTTATCAAGCAAATAAGGTATCCAGCTTAAAACTTACTTTTGTGATTTTGAAAGTCCTGACAGTAAAGTGAGAAAATATATCCTCATTGATCAATGTCATGGAGATTTGACCAAACTTCATTTGCTTGCCACTGTTTGGCCAATACTTGAAACATTTTTTCTGAAATAAATATTATAACATAAGACTCTTAACAAATAAACTATAAGATATAATTAAATATTTTCAAACAAATGTACATCAAGATATCAAATACAAATATCAATAATTTCATGACAAAAGAATAAACTTTTAATCAAAAAATACTAATAAAAATGATTGCGAGCTTTGTGCATCACCAAATACTTTAAAGCTGCAATTTCATATTTTTAAAATTTATTAAAATAAAGCCTTAAAATAGATGGTCTCTATAAACAGTCCTTCCTTGTTAACGAATAATCCTATTAATCCTATAATTCACTATTGCCAGTTGAGAAATTGGCAAAAATATCATTTTCAACTTTAAATTCAAACATCTGAAGATAGCTTTTCCACGGGGGGGGGGGGGGAATAGAAAGACAAGGGAGGTAATTGTGTTATTATTTTCGGGGTCAAAGGATTTTTAAGAGGGAGAATAATACCTATAATCGTATAATAGTTAGTTGAAAACCTATTGAGCAAAAGACATAGAAATAATTATGTTTTGACTTTCTTAGAAAATATGAAATTATCGCTTTAAAAGGTGTGTCTGGTGTTTCAGCACAATGATCAGTCTATTTCCGTTTAAACGATGCTTCGACAGATTAAATATAAAGATCAACATACGTTTCCCATCTCTACCAAGTTAGTTAACATTACTATCTTTCCTGTCTCCGAAACCCATAGTAACCGTAAGAAGTCCTTAACAATAACATCAACGGGGCCTGTCAAATTAAATTACACTATTAGAAAGTTCTGGTATGAATAAGTGATATGCAACGAAAAGAAATGAAATGCGGTTTAATGTTCTGCTTCTATATATGTACATGTCTTAAATTAAATAATAGTATATAAAATGAAATGAGCTGAGGTTTTACGTCCTACGGTTCTGCTCTGGCTGGGCTAATGAAGACGGGCATGCGCCATACAGTGTGCTTTGCCAGGGCAGCGGCACTATCAAATTACAACTGTCATGGGATCTTTTATGCGTTTGCCAATGTATACACGGGGCCTCGGGGTTTTCGTACCATCCGAATGACTAGAAAGCTGTTCTTGTCAGGCCCTCCGTCTTGCATCACTGACAAGGAGGAAACCACGTCGGAAAATCCAGATGAACTTTCTCGGCCAATGCAGGGGTCGAACACGCCACCTCCAGAGCGAACTTCGGTTGCAGGGATTCCCGAACTCTAGTCGGAACTATCTTCATGCGAATGACATTTAGTTCAACCTCTGGCCGTGACCAGCCGTACCATGCGATAGAGCACGGTCGGGATAGTTAGAATAGCTGAAAAGGCTGATGCGTGTGCAGATTTGTCTGAAAAATATAAAATTGCAAGATGATAGGATAAACTATTAATGTTCCGACGAAATAAAAAGAAAATGTTTCATAAATATTTCATTGTACACTTTTCCAAACGCCCACAGAACTTGCCATGTTTAAGTCTCGACCACAGTTTACATCTGTAGGTCGCCCAGGCGAGCCAGCGTCTTACCCACTTGCCCGCGGTATGAATAAGACTAAATAAGTGAAATAACAGTATATTTGGAAACTTGTAGTAACAAAAGATCCTGGAATTCGTCGCTACTTTTATTTTTCTTTTGATCTCAGTTAAAAACACCTTAATTAGTTTAATTAAAATAATCACGAAAAAACTTACCCTGTGAAGCGATATATTTGTTTGCTATGTCGCCATATCCCTAGATAAAAAAAACGATATATGATAAATATCGGGCCACTTAAGTAACAATAACCCCGCCCACCATCAACTGATCTTATTAGCAGAATTCCGCTGCACAATTGTTGATAGAAAAGTGAAATTTCCTATATTCTGCTGTGACTCGGCTAATGAAGACAGGCATACGGCACACAATTAGCTATGAGGGACATTTTGCGGCACTAAGAACTCCTCTTATATCCAATTTCAACTGCCAAGGCGTTTTTTACGTGCACACCAATGTATGCACGGGACCTCGCTTTTTTTTTTCGTTCAATCCGAAAAACTTGACAGCCGCTCCTGTAAGGCCCCCCGTCCTGCACCACTGACAAGGGGAGAATCACAATATTGATAAAAGTTATTTAATAGCTGGTAAAATCGTGTTCTTGATGAATATTTGAGGAGGTAAACCTAAAGCATGTTCTATAAAACTGTTCAGTAAATAAATAATAACTTACAGTTATATAGCAAGCATTGATGTAATCAGAATTAGGGTCATCGTTTTCTACGTCCAGTTTAACTCGTGAATGATCAACTATAACAAACCATATCAACATATAACGTAACATTTGTATGGAAATAAAAAACAGTTAGGAGATGTACACTTTCTTTCTGTTTTCGAATTTAAAGTGGTGTCATTATGAACTCATTACATGCATTAGAACCAATGACCAGTTTCACGAGGTGAACATATCGCTACGAATGGCGACGATCGTGGTTTCATTTGGCTTTTCAGGAACGACCAGTTACACTGCCTTTGAATAATTAAAGATACATTATGGAAGATTAGGTAAAGAGTTAGCAGTTCTAACTATAATAGTTAAAGACTAGATAATGTAAAGGGAATATGCTCAAAATTACAGTCAAATTGAACCTTATTTTAAAATCGCTTTAGCCTCAATTGTCATTGTTACTGCTGTCACGATAATTAACAATGTCTCGATCATCCATTTTTGCGGTTAATCATCAATGGGCGTTCAACAGCAGATCGGATTCAAATCCAATGAAAATCGGACACATAAGATGGCATCGAGAGTTGATTATGGCGTTTCCATGTTAATAAATGTCTAATTAATAGTTTAGATAACATTTCAGACCTAAAGGAAGATCTGCAAAATGGCGGATTGCCCTCTTGTATAATGCATGTTTAAGTCAAACTTAGTTGCAACGAATCTTTGCTGAAAATTACTTACAAGCACATATGTTCTTGTATCTGTTCTTCGGCTTATTAACAACATTCATACAATAATCATATGCTGCACATAGTCCACTTGGAAGGGTCTGTAAAACGAAAGAATACTATTTTTATCCACCCGATTAGATTTTATTACATACTTCGAGAAGGTATTTGTTGAGTAATAAAACCTTCTAGTAGTTTATCGAGGGTTGGCCGTCCTTACCGCACGGTACAAATACTAGAAGCAACAAATTCCAGAACAAGCCAGAACTCATACCAAAATGGCCGCTTTATACAACTGAGTATTTAGGGGAATACTAACCCGAACCCTAACCCTAACCCTTTTAAGAGAAGTAAAAACTAAATTAGACCCAAGTTCAGTCTTTTAAAAAGGGTTAGGGTTAAGGTTCGGGTTAGTTATCTCCAAAATTCTCATTTATATAAAGCCGCCATTTTGGACTGCGGAAACACCCGAACCTCGATAAACTACTAGAAGGTTTTATTACTCAACAAATACCTTCTCGAAGTATGTAATAAAATCTAATCGGGTGTTTTATCTGATCTATTATCAATTTGTAATAATTATAGAAGTTACTTTTTTATACGGAGGCGGGATTGGATGGCAGAATGGCGCGCTGCCAGTGAGTCAAGTGGCGTGCTTTTGATACCTCGCTTGTACGTGACAAGGAGTGGGCTCGCCTGTCCAATCTCGTGGGTTTTCTCCGGTTACCTCCCACTGCTAAAGACCCCTACGCGCAAGCGAATTATTGAAATAGAATTAAACCACTCCCGATATGACCTAGTTTCTGTCGATTGAATGTTAAATCCTCTCTCTCTCTCTCTCTCTCTCCCCCTCTCTCTCTCTCTCTCTCTATACATACGGAAAACAGAGAATACTAAAATACGTAAAATAACACGCACCTCAAATTCAGCTTTCAGCGATTCTTCCTCAGCCTTTCGTTGTTTGATATATTGAAGCAGATTTTGTAGCTGAATACGTGTAGAAGCAGCAGTGGGTTCATCATCATTGACATAAACTTGTGCTGCCTCATTGTCCTCTTCTGCTAGTAGATTGGCATATGTATTAACTTCGATTTTAGGTTTTTGGCCTACTGTTGATATAAATGTTTGTATAAAATGAAATGAAATGAAATAGACTTTAACGTCCTACTGTTCTGCTCCGAACTGAGCTAATGAAGATAGGCATATGCCATACAGTGTGCTCAATGGGAAATTTTGCCCGGACACCGGCACTACTCTTATATCAAATTCCAACTGTCAAGGGATCTTTTACGTGCACGCCAATGTGTACACGGGACCTCGTTTTTTCGTCCCATCCGAACGACGCCGGAAAATATGGATGAATTAGGCCAATGCAGGGATCGAACACCCGACCTCCAGTCTGGCCAGCTAGCGTCTTACCTACTTAGCCACCATGACCCCCCCCCCTTGTTTATATAAACAATTCGAGAAAAATGGTTGACTTTTGCCCCAGCAGAAAATGAGTTATTGTTTACATTAATTATAAGTAAACGTAAATATATCAGAGTATTATCTTTAATTATAATTAGTTTTATTATGGCAACTAAACTTTGGAGCCTTAATATTGGTTCACTTATCTTAGTATATTAATCTTTTCAGTGCTTTCTGTGTTTTGAAGCCTCAAGTGAATTCACATTACGGACAACCATAATTGCTGTTATAGTTATAAACAAGATAACCAACCTTTAGAGACTGTTCTCTTAGAAAACGAATCGCTTTTGGTTAGACTTGAATCTATAGGCAAATGGTTGTCTTCAAGTTGGTTAGATTCCACATATTTCTGTCGTCTGAAAATACATTAGCAAATATTAATGCCTTCGATAATTCGCTTTAGTAAAACATGTAGCTTAGGAAACAGAAAACAATGTACGTGTGTTCGATTAAATGTTAGTATATAAAATCTATAAAATGAAATGAAATGAAATGTGGTTTAACGTCCTACTGTTCTGCTCCTACTGGGCCCACGAAGACTGGCATACGCCAAACAGTGTGCTATGAGAGAAATTCTGCCCGGGAAGCGGCACTATGGCCTACTCTTAAATCGAATTCCAACTGCAAAGGGATCTTTTACGTGCACGCCAATGTATACACGGGAACTTGGTTTTTCGTAACATCCGAATGACTAAAGAATTGTCCTTGTCAGGCTCTCCGTCCTGCACTACTGACAAGGGGAAACCACGTCGGAAAATCCCGATGAACTTTCTTGGCCTTAAATAAATAAGAACAAAAACAAATTTGTTGGGGTGCTGATTGACATGTAGAACCTACCTTCTGTGTCTTACAACCAAAATAATAACAACACCAATAATCGCGATAACAACCAACGCAGCAACAACAGATACTATTATAGTAGCTTGTACTGCAATTATAGAATAAACAACACCAATAATCGCGATAACAACCAACGCAGCAACAACAGATACTATTATAGTAGCTTGTACTGCAATTATAGAATAAAGATGACATATATATCCTGTTAGGAAAAGAAACCTACTCCCACTAGCATTCATCCCTATTACTATTTAATATTTACAAATTGCTGCTGTACATGCAGTAGAGACCTTAGCTAAATCCTGTAGGGGCAATCAGTGAGGAATAAGCACCAAAAACACATCTTATCAAATAAAACTCTAACACTATGTCTACGTTCCTTAACTGCTGTAAACATTACTACCTGCTTCCTCTTTCTCATGGCAAGTTGGTCCTTGAAAGCCATCTGCACAGCCACCTTTACATTTACCATCCGATATATCACATGGTATATTCTGGGCACAGTTACCACATTCCTTTGTACAATTGTCACCATACATCCCCGGTTCACATTCTGTAAATACACGATCAACATTGTCGAATTATTGTAGAAATATTGCTATAAATGGTCCACGGTGTTACCAAGTGTTCAAAGTCATTTATACAAAAATACAGATTAATTCAGTTAGTTAAAAAAAATCGTCCAATTAAAAATATTTAAAATCATTATATTTGTCACGTCTATTCTGACCAACCATAATTATATGTTGTAATGCACATCGAAGAGACGAAATGTTTAAACAATATGATATAAAATATTGTTAAGCAGGATTTGTATTTTGAATAACGACGGAAGAGTAAACAAATAACTGTAACTGAAGAATATTTGCCAATAAATTTCTGTATCGAGAAGAAATTTTCAGGTTCCTAGGACTAATCGACAAATATATTCATTTATAGAAAATCGGGTGATGTGCATTAATTTACCTGTTGTACAGTTAGGTCCTATTGTACCAGGTAAACATCCATTGATACAATCTCCTGTGGTCCGACCACATAAACCATCTTTACAGTTAGACGGACAATCTGTATTACAATCTATACCATGTAATCCTGTTTTACATCCATCAGTACACAATCCACTTGTTATATTACATTTACCAACAGTTTTACCAACAACTGGTTTACAGTTAGTATTGCATAGTTTACTACATGATGATCCCCATCTTCCATCTTTACATTCAGTACAAGAATTGATATCATCCTGATTACAAACAGTACAATTATTATTACAGTCAATGTTACACATGTCTCCAGTTTTACCTTCAATACAAGATGTGCATTTACCATCAGTTCTACCACATCCACCATCACATCCTATACTACAGTTCATATCACACCCATTACCATATCTTCCTACAATACAAGATGTACATTTACCATCATCTCTATCACATCCACCATCACACCCTGTACTACAGTTCTTATCACAACCACCACCATGTTTTCCAACAATACAGTCAGTACAATTACCATTTCTATCACATGTGGTGAGGTTTGTTGTTGGTTGACACCCTGTACCACACGTAATATTACAGTATGGACCAGCTATATCAGGTTTACAGTCATTACATCTACCATCGAGCTTACCACACCCTCCGACACAATTATCAAGACATCGAGATCCACAATTTGTACCATACCTGTCTTGGTAACATTCAATACATGATGATCCGTTTTGTTGGCATGATCTACAGTTAGCCGGACATGATGATTGACAGTAGGGACCTGTATTACCAACAACACAACCATCTGTACATTGTGGTTGTGAAGGAGAAGGAATATAACATCTCATGTTTGTACATTTATTACTACACGGTGATGTACATTTATCACCATAATATGTAGCTTTACATCCACATTTCCCGTCCGGTTTATTACATATATTGGTTACACAACCATCACTACACTTAGATTCACATTTTGTTCCATACCAGCCTTGTTTACATTCAATACATGATGACCCGTATTGTTGGCATGATCTACAGTTACCAGGACATGATGATTGACAGTAGGGACCTGTATTACCACCAACACAACCAGTTGTACATTGTGGTTGTGAAGATGGAGGAGTGATAGAACATATACTGTTTGTACAGTTAATACTACACGATGATGTACATTTATCACCATAATATGTAGCTTTACATCCACATTTCCCGTCCGGTTTATTACATATATTGGTTACACAACCATCACTACACTTAGATTCACATTTTGTACCATACCAGCCGCCTTGGTTACATTCATTACATGATGACCCGTCTTGTTTGCATGATCTACAGTTACCAGGACATGATGATTGACAGTAGGGACCTGTATTACCACCAACACAACCAGTTGTACATTGTGGTTGTGAAGATGGAGGAGTGATAGAACATATACTGTTTGTACAGTTAATACTACACGATGATGTACATTTATCACCATAATAACCGTCTTTACATCCATCAGTACAATTACCAGTATCGGGATTACATTTGTAATTAAGGCACGTATTACAAGGTTGGCATGTAGAGATTGATGTACTGAAGTATCCTGTATTACATCGTATTGGATCTGTAATATAGATTATACATGTATTATTATAATATGTATTATATGGTTGACACGTAGACCTTGATGTACTGTAGTATCCATCATTACATTGTACTGTAATTAGATGATAACTTGCAGTTATCTTATCATTAATTATCGGTCTATTATCTTATCATTATTTATCGGTCTATTTATAATACTCTATTTAGTTAAATATGGTGCGGTTCTCCTACAGATTCTATTAGTAACAGTCCTATGGATATGTGTTAAAGGGGCTAAACATCTAACTCATAATATTTTAAGTCATAAACGAGAATTAGAATTCAATACTGATTCATTTCAATCAATATTGATATTGCTATCTTACCGTAAAAATATGGGATCCTAACATCTAATATTTAAATCACAATGAATGAATATTTCATAATCAGTACGCGAGTCGTGCATTCTATGGTTTCGGGCGTCATTTGTAATAAACAAAGAAAACATATGCGGAAGTGTTTTAAAATGGCTGATTCACAAACGATTGATTAGAAATTACAATAAATGTTTTAAAAATTATAACAAATATTTTCAATACATTAGTAGTATCTGTGGCAGTTCAGCCAAATTTTTACCAAAGAGAGTTGACGCCTTTGTTCTATTCAATAGATTGAATAGGGTGTTGTTATCAGAACAATGGGGATATGAATATAGATGAATAGGTATTGTTATAATGAACTCTTGTTTATCCTTTGACCTCGTTTGACTTCTGTAACGAGGTTAGATGCGGGGTCACGAATTGTTTATTGTGGGAGAGTGGGGTGGGGTTGCCCCTTTATAGACAGCCGCGTCGGGGTTCGTGTTGAGGTCAGGTTGTGCGTGGTCTAGCGTTAAGGGCTAATGTTAAGATTGACCATTGATTGGATTGCGATTGTTTATCCGGGGTTGGTTACTTATACCCCCCTCCCCCTTCCACTCAGTTACCAGCCCCCCCCCCCCACACACACACACCTGAGATAATTTTACTTGCGAGGAACCATCCCCCTGGATGTGATAGGCTTCGGAAAGGAGGGTTTGTACGCCAATATATACACGGGCCTCAGTTTTTCGTCGTAGCCGGACGAGGGCGAGGCCAGACAATCACGACGAAGTTATTCGGCCAATGCAGGGATTAAACGTGCGACCTGCAGGCTAGCGAACCGGCGACTTAACCACATAGAGGCTCCTTGATAAAGGACCGCGTAGCAGACGATATGGCACGCGTGACTGACCCCTTGTGAATGGTTGTAACGGCAAAGTGAACATACACTTCTCAATGAATGCAATCAATCATGAATTTACACAGATAATTGTATTATCTGTATATTATAAATGTTTTCTGGCAATATCAACCAAACTTTAACGTTAAATTTAACATATACATATATCTCAATTTTTATGTATAAAAAGACCGAATCAGATTAAAAGCAAAGACCATTTACTCAACACAAGTTAAATCTAAATATACTAAACCATTATCAATAAATAAATGGAGAAATAGAGAGATGAAACGGAAAACTGCCGCATACTCAATTTGAGCAATAAAATAAGCGGTAACCCTAGATAACCGAGAATTCATTGCACATACAAGACGATGTTGTCTTTAATCACTGATTATTTATCATAAATATCGAAGCCAAATAAATTCTCGAATTTTACATTCCCAAGTCTTTTTCCGTGGGTTTTTATCTTAGAATCTTTATCAACTTGATAAAGGTACGCGCCAAACGCTCACTAACGCTGGGAGATTTAGACAATCACAGCGTGCTACCTTTCACGTTACTCGAGCAGCCAACACTAATCGTCGCAGTTGCCAATTAGAGAAACCTTACATTTTTGATTTTTGTCTTAATAACGAGTAATTGCTCCACCAATCCTCAGACATTCAGCAATTCGTCGTGGCATGCTCCTAATGAACCGTCCAATCACGATTTGGGGAAATCTGATCCACTCATCTTGCAGTGCCACGGCCAATTCTTGCAGTGTTGTTGGTTGACGTTGACGCCGACGAACACGTCTCCCGATCAAATTAAACGTAGTACACTAAAGTAAAGATACCATAAACAGGAAATCTTATGCAAGAATCGATAGGAAAGCAAACATGGATAGGATAAACCAGCAGGCGAGAGTTTTCATCAACCCATCCTTGAAGTGTCAAATTTGACAATGAACCCCTCCCCCCGTGGTTCTGTTGGGGTGATAAGTTCTTCATCTGTGAACATACTATTAGAGCATGTCCATGACTATTTATCATATCACAACTGCATAGGTATTTTCATTGCAATATCCCCTACTTTTTTGAAGAGTATAACGGTTTTTCATTCAAAATTTTGAAGAGTATAACGGCTTTTCATTCAAAATCAAAATAAAAGAATCTTCACTGGGTAGTTTTTGTTCTTCGAATATTGAAATCTCTTGAACGCATCTTTACATACTGCAATTACATTACACACCCCCCCCCCCCCCCCGCCAAAAAAAAAAATCAAAAAGTTGAAAAATCAACTTTAATCCACACAAAACAAGGACTATTACCTTCTCAAGAAAATTAAACCGCACTCTTAACACTCTTTGCTGTGCTGGAGCTGGGTTAACTGATAGCAAAGAAGTTAAGAATTAGTATTTGTAATGGGGCTGTTCATACTAATTATTCCGTTATAAAAGGACAGATTTGTGTCAGAAGTTTAAAATATCTAGAATCAATATACTGGGCTTTAAATGTCGCCTATTATTCGACTACGTGGACGTACTCCGAAATGAGTGTACTACAAAAACCAAGGTCCTGTACCTTGAAAACGTAAATCTTGATGTCCTTAGAACAATCACTGGATTAGTGAGAGCTACATCTTATAACCTATCGTAAATTGCATCAGGGTTCACTTCGATTAAAATGAGACGGTTGCCCCATAAACTAACCCTGTTTTACGAAATGGCGAATTTAGAAATTCTCGTTTGCAATTGTCGAAATCATTTATTTATTTGGACATTTATTGTTTTAAAGAAAGAATTCATACTTTATTTTTTTTTATTTTGGGGAATATTTTATACTTCTTGCCAAAATATTTTTAGACAAAACAAATTTTCAAATTGTGGAACCTTTGAAAACTAGTAGATGTCATTTAAATTTGACCCCCCCCCCCCCCCGGTCCCGCCCCTCACATGCGCACACACCCACAAACACCCAACACCCCATCACAGACTTTAACATAAACACGAATAATATCTTTTCATGTTGTTTTATTATAAAATGTATATATTCCCCCCTACGGTCGTTTTTTTTAAATTATGCATACCTATCTTACTCACCTTTATCTCAAAAATGATGATTAGAACGCTCCAGTACACATGTAATGGTGAAAAGACAGACAACCAGCACGAATAATACCTTTTCATGTTGTTTATTACAAAATGTATATATTTCTTCCACGGTAGTTTATTTTTAAAAATATGCATACCAACCTTACTCTTTTTTCTCCTCAAAAATTGGTGATTAGAACGCTCCGTTACTCATGTCATTGTTTTTTTGTCTTTATGTATTTTCATTATCTATTTGAACTCCCTTTTCAGCCTGAAACACGTAACTTATTATATTCTTGAAATATCACAAGTAAATGATATAGCCGCGTGTGCAACTATTATATCGTTTAGTTTCGAGTAATAGCCGCGTGTGCAACTATTATATCGTTTAGTTTCGAGTAATATTCATTTTGAGCTTTTTAAAGCATCCCCGTGGGAAAATATTATCTAAAATACTTAATCATTCAATATTCCATTATTTTGAAAATAAAAACCACACAAAAAAATGTTTAGGAAGCAAATTTCTGATCGTTAATATCCCCGTGAATAATATTATCTAAAATACTAAATCATTCGAGTTACCGTATATCCCCAAAACCTGTAAGAAATAAATTAATTGTTAATTATCATCCTAGTTTATACATGCAATGTGTTCATTTTATAGTATTTCATACTTGGTCATTTTTGAGAGTAAATAGCAGTTTTATCAATAATTTTCTCAAATTGCATCAATCACACACCAAACGTCAATTGTGATTAGCTTATCAAACGGGGGAAATTTGTTGCAATAAGAAATACCTATATTCGGACATTGATTTACTATAACATTAATACATCAGCAGTAACTATTAAAAACGTTAAGGGAGCTAAATCGCTAATATTTATGGGACCTAGAAATTGACAGAAATGGGTCGCAACGAATATAATAATGTAATATGAATGTATATAAACTGATTTACATTCAATCGTTTCTGTTTTTACCGTAATTTCTAATCAGTTATGTTCGGCGAAATGCGCCAAAGTCTCAATTGAATGACGATCTTTAGCGTCTGGTTATTCCAGTCTAAACCGATGGTATTTATTGCGCATGCTCTCCATATAAGAATATAGCATTGACATGACTTGTGGAATATGTCTAGCCTCGATCTTCGAGCCCCTTGTGCCAAATGGCACTGAAACGCATTATGGTACACGATTCGTGTACCAGTGGTAAA